TGATAGCTGAACGAAGTTTAGTTGGTTTAGATGAATTCTAGCACAATTTCTACTCTCGTTTCACGTGAAGTCATTCAGAAGAGCAAAAGAACTGCCAGCGGATGCAGGACTGTATTAAACGTCTAGCTAAACGCTGTGATTTAGCACTGAATCTGCGTCAGTCCAGTGCTTTTAGAAACATGAGCCTTTGACTCTGTGTCTTGCACACAGCCTCCCCAAAAACACTTCAATCTCACTGAAAAAAGGGCTGAATCTCAAAGCTAATCTCATGCATGAAACGTTTGCTTGTGCTTTTTTTCTGTCGGATGAATGAAAAACTGATCTAATGTAACAACACACTTTTTAAGTGTAGTTTTTTTGGGGTCGCTGTACATGTAAGATAGATACGGCCTTGCGCAACACAAATGCAGCTATTTTCTACACAGTTTCTGTGTGCTGTACTGTACGTTTCATCGTTTCAGACGTGTTTGTTGGATGTAATAGATCTTTGCATTAATGTCCGTCCACTTTTTCAGCGGTGCTGGTTCTGGAAGCATTTTTTCCATTCATTTCTACCACAGCGACTTTTAATAAAGTCTTCTTTAAAGCGTTATAAGCCGACGAGGAGAATCAAAACATTACAAACTTTGATTTGAAGCAAAAAAGTATTTGAAAATCAGACAATAACACAAAAAGGTACAAAACTGTGTGACCTACAATCCCATGAAGCATTGCGAACAGCATAATCGAGTTAAAAACGATAGGAAAAAATAAAACTACACATTTGAATATATATATGCATATTTTGCAGTATATATATAAAATCAATGTTTAAATATTTAAGTATTTTGAGAGCAAAAGTAGACTGGCTCTGTCATTTGCAGTGCTTCATGAGAGTGGGCGGAGCTAAAGAGTTTTGCTTGTTTTGACTCTGATTGGTGGGATTGTCTGTACAGCATCATGGGAAATGTAGTTTTTCACCACGAATTCGGCTGTTAAACTCGATTATTTAAAAACTAAGTTGAAATGGTGTGGAGTGACGGCTTCAGCAGAAGCAAACACCATCGAATATAAACTCTGGAGCTTAGTAGCTCTGTCTTAAAGGTTTATAAGTTGTCGTTTAAAGTCAATTTCACTATGAAGAAAATGATTACGTTTTTACTTCGGGAGACTGATGCTCTCCATAGCTGTCGTCAACATCAGAAAAGAGGCCTTCATTATGGAAGCTTGTTTTTGCCATGGAATAAATAAATAAAAATACAAAACATAATTTCGACTTTTTCCCTCACAGTTGCTAGTTTATATCTCAAAATTGCAAGTTTGTAAAGTTGTAGAATCCTTATAAAACATTGTTTACATCTAAAAATTGTGACTTTTCTCTGAATTTTGACCTTTTTTCAGAATTTCTCTTGTGTTTACATCTTGTAATTCTGTTTGGGGTTTTTTTCGCCAAAGAATACACAAATAGGAAATGATTCTCATTAATCTCACAGTTCAAGACTTTTTTTTCTCAGAAATGCGAGTTTATATTACAATACTACGGAAGCGTATTGCATTCACTTGAGGAAAAAAATCGACTCTGTTTTTCTGAATTAACGAGTTAATATCTCAGAATTATGAGAATTTTTTCTTGAAAAACTTTTTTCACTCTGTTTTTAGGAATTAATGAGTTACTCATAATTTTGAGATAATTAAGTCATTAATTCAGAGAAACAGAGCAAAAACTTTTTTCCATGAAAAATTCTCTCGTAATTCTGAGATAATTAACTTGTTAATTCAGAAAAACAGAGTCGATTTTTTTTCCTCAAGTGAATGCGATACGCTTCCGTACAATACTGAGTTTATACCTCGGAATTCAACATTTTTTACCTGAATTTTAAGTTGCAATTAACTTTTTTTTATTCCAAGATGAAAATATTGTAAAAATACAGCAGCCGCACACTCAAAACACTGTGCAAGATCAAGTGAACATGGGAACTACATTTCCCATGTTCCCTATCCCTGTAGCCTAAGGCCATGTCCACACGGACACGGGTATTTTTATAACCGGAGTTTTTCCTACAGCGTTTTAAAAAAAAATCCCGTCCACACATGCTCAGTCTCCGTCTACATGAAAACGTAAAAACACACAATCAAGCGCGGTCAAGAGCATGCCACGCCAGCAGGCGGCGATATAAACATTAACCGTAAAGCCACGTTGGCCAATCAGAAGCGCAAATCTGATGTCAAACACAGCTGATAACGGCGCACACTTTGACGTCGCAAGGCTAAAACCCCGGTTTCACTGTCTACACGACAACACTAACCGGCGTTTCTGAAAATCCTCACCCTGGCAGGGGTTTTCAAAAATGTTCGGTTTCAGTGCGTTTTCGTGTGGACGAACGGCCGAACCGCGTAAAAAAAGTCACGGTTATAAAAATACCCGTGTCCGTGTGGACAGGGCCTTAGCCATGTTAACACAGGTGTCTGGCTTTATGCAATCAGGAGAGGTGATTGACAAGGGCTTTTTTGTATGGCCACATTCACTCTGTTTGTATGCCTGAAGAAGGTCGCAAGACCGAAAGCTTGCAATAAATTGATCTTGCACAGTGTTTTGAGTGTGCGGCTGCTGTATTTGTACAATATTTTCCACTATGATTTAATGTAGCAGCACCTCTCTACAAGACTTGTTTTGACGGATGAGCGGTGGTTCTTTTCTATATTTTCTCACTTTAAATTAGCTTGAAAAAAAAAAGATTTAAAAAAATTGTCAGTTGACTTGTTTGCAAGTAAATTGTGTGAAAATATTTGCTATGTGAGTGTTATTCACATGAAACCCCAGCTAACAAAAATGCTAATTTTTTTTAACTAACATTCCCGTTAAAGGAGTAGTTCACTTTTAAAAAAACTTTTGCTGATAGTTTACTCTCCCCCATGTCATCCAAGATGTCCATGTCTTTCTTTCTTCAGTCGAAAAGAAATTAAGGTTTTTGATGAAAACATTCCAGGATTTTTCTCCATATAATGCACTTTGCTGGGCACCAAACGGTTCAAGGTCCAAAAGACAGTTTCAGTGCAAACTGTTCAAAGGGCTTTAAACGACACCAGACGATGAATAATGGTCTTATCAAGCGAAACGATCGCTCATTTAAAAAAGAAATAACAACGTTTAAGTTTTATAAGCTCAAATGCTCGCCTTGCTCTGTTCTGTGTGACTCTCCTGTTCGAACTCGTTCATCAAAATGAACGAATCTTTTTCCGAGTCAATTCGTTCATTTCGGTCGTTAAATGAACCAAATGACTCGAAAAAAGATTTGTTCATTTTGATGAACGAGTTCGAACAGGAGAGTCACACAGAACAGAGCAAGGCGAGCATTTGACATTATTAAACTTAAACTTTGTTATTTATTTTTGAAATAAATTTATTTATCGTTTCGCTTGATTAGACCCTTATTCATCATCTGGAATCGTTTAAAGCCCTTTGAACAGTTTGCACTGAAACTGTCTTTTGTACCTTGAACCGTTTGGTGCCCAGCAAAGTGCATTATATGGAGAAAAATCCTGGAATGTTTTCATCAAAAACCTTAATTTCTTTTCGACTGAAGAAAGAAAGACATGCACATCTTGGATGACATGGGGGTGAATAAATTATCAGCAAAAGTTTTTTTTAAAAGTGAACTAATCCTTTAAGTAATGAAAACGTTAATTCTGAATCTTCCCTGAACATTCAAAATGTCCAAATCTAAATGTTTAAAAAACTCTTTTTTTTTACGTCTTTGAACAAAAATGTGAACGTTAAGGGAACATTCCATTCTATAATTTTGCAAACATTATGGGAAACGTTTGAATGTTCTCTGAAACGGGTAGTAACATTTAAACGTTTTGAGAACATCAAGGACGAGTTAACTTTGAACGATCATTCTATTAACGTTACTGCAAGAACAGTAGTGAAAATACTATTATGCCCATATTTATACAATTTATAAAACAGTAGGTAAAAAGTAGGCTATACCGGATGACTTACTACTTCCGACGAAGTGCGCATGTGATGAACACTTTACTATCCCATGAGGCCACAGGAGAGGATTTATGAAAAGCAGTGAAGCGACGTAACTGATCTCAAAGTAAGTTTCAACTAGAAACTAAAACTTGTTCCAACTAGACATTATGCAATTTTGGACAGAAAATATTAATAATAATAATAATTTGAGGTTATGTTATGGGGATTTTGGACCAATGAGATTTCACAGTGGGCGGGGCTGCACGATTGCTCAGTTAGCATCTGTTAGCTCACTTATGAAGTTTCGTCACCAACAGTTCTGTGGTTAAAAAAAGGAAATTATCAATGCAAAACATTGTCGGTTTGTATCCTGCTTTTGTGTTTAGGGGTGTTCATACCTTGACATTGACCCAGAGTGGTGTAGTCCGTCATTGGACCGCCCTCTACAGTTTGTACACGAGCCCACTTGGCATTTCCACCATCTCCCTGGATCATACCACAGATGTTCGGTTCCTCAAAGTGGCAAGAGTCTAGAAAAGTTGAGGTTGTAGCTGGAAGAATTTTGAGAGAAGCCAAGTATTAGTTGAGCAAGTAGTCTTTATCTTACCAGTCAGACTAATTTAATTATATTTATAATACATGATTATTTAACCAGTCAAGGTCAACCAGTCTCCCACAGAAACTGTAATCATAAACTTACTACAATTGACCCTTCGCATGGAGCTTGATTGACAGGTGTTCTGACCAATCATACTTCGCCATCCGCCATTTTGTCCGACAAAGCAGTCAGGAGAGTTAGTAGATTAACATGTGAGGATTTGAACTGGAAAAACTGAATATACTGACGTCTTTCCGCGGTTAAAACAACATTCCTTCTTATGTTCATTCATGTTTATTTGATGCTATAAATGAACTAGAAGGAAGAGATGATCGGTTCACGAGCAGCTTTAACTGATGCTCTAGCGATCTGTCACGACACATTAAAGAGCCACAAAACGGTATTTATTGTTTAAATTTCTTTCAAAAAATGACCATATTTGAAAGGTGAGACTTTGTTTAATATGTTTAATATCAAAAGTAACCGAAAAGTAACCTGGTCTGTTCTGTCTGTCAGCGTGTTGTCAGTCTCCTCTCTGCTCAGCGATGTATTTTTCACTGCGTGAGAACATGGTGTGTGCGTGAGAGCGGCGTAGCTTGTCGGACATAGCGACAGTAACTAAGGGGGGCGGGGCTTTGCGAAGGGTCAATTGTATAGCCTGCTTAGCTTGAGCAAGTCACTGTCACTGAACTCCATGCGTTGACCAATCACATCCAAGAATTCTGGTATCTTGGTAACGATGGTTGGCTCCTGTCCTTTGTTGAAGGACGTCTTACTGTAGTGCATGACCGAAGCATAATCTTAGGGCACACCGAGAGAGCTTGACACCGTTTCATCATATACCGTAAATTGAAGTTGTGCTCTTTACCTAAGTGAGAATTAAACCAGGAAACGGTTGCATGTAATAATAGAATATATAAAGTAAAGGGTTTGGCATGATAGAATGATATCACTAAAAAGAGATTTATTCTTCGATGGCATGAAACATGTTTATGAATTCAGTTATTACCCTCTTCAATCTGGTCCCACACTATGGTGACGTAGTCGTCTCTGTCAGTTCCGGATTGCTCGTGCCACAAACCCAACGCATGCAGAAACTCATGCTCTACTGTTCCTAAACGGTCACAGTTTGCACCAATTGACAACTCCTGTTTCCCCATCTGTCGATTCCCCACCTTCGAGTAACATCTGGAACAGAGAAAAATCCTGAATTTCACATTGTTGCAAAAATAAACACCCCTTCGGATTCAGTCAGTCCAAGGGGGAAAGAAAAAGTCCCTTGTACTGTTGCAGCTTGCACATGCCTGAAAAGTTTTTAAATGCTATTACTGGCATACAATATTAGGCAACTCTTTATTTCGAAGGTCGACTTTAGACATTTTACTATGTAGGCCTGCCTTTGCAACTATGTCAACTAACTCACATTAATTTACATGTACATGTCAACTACCCGTAATTAGAGGGCCTATTAGACTGTGGCATTTAAACGATGCCCAATTGGCACTAAGGGGCCTAAAGTGTGCCAAGAAAACATCCCCCACACCATTACACCACCACCACCAGCCTGCACAGTGGTAACAAGGCATGATGGATCCATGTTCTCATTCTGTTTACGCCAAATTCTGACTCTACCATCTGAATGTCTCAACAGAAATCGAGACTCATCAGACCAGGCAACATTTTTCCAGTCTTCAACTGTCCAATTTTGGTGAGCTCTTGCAAATTGTAGCCTCTTTTTCCTATTTGTAGTGGAGATGAGTGGTACCCGGTGGGGTCTTCTGCTGTTGTAGCCCATCTGCCTCAAGGTTGTGCGTGTTGTGGCTTCACAAATGCTTTGCTGCATACCTCGGTTGTAACGAGTGGTTATTTCAGTCAAAGTTGCTCTTCTATCAGCTTGAATCAGTCGGCCCATTCTCCTCTGACCTCTAGCATCAACAAGGCATTTTCGCCCACAGAACTGCCGCATACTGGATGTTTTTCCCTTTTCACACCATTCTTTGTAAACCCTAGAAATGGTTGTGCGTGAAAATCCCAGTAACTGAGCAGATTGTGAAATACTCAGACCGGCCCGTCTGGCACCAACAACCATGCCACGCTCAAAATTGCTTAAATCGCCTTTATTTCCCATTCTAACATTCAGTTTGGAGTTCAGGAGATTGTCTTGACCAGGACCACACCCCTAAATGCATTGAAGCAACTGCCATGTGATTGGTTGATTAGATAATTTCATTAATGAGAAATTGAACAGGTGTTCCTAATAATCCTTTAGGTGAGTGTGTGTGTGTATATATATATATATATATATATATATATATATATATATATAAAGGGTATGACTTTTTCTGTTTTTGTATTGAAATGTGAGGGCACAATGTGTTACATCCATTATGTGGTGGTAGACTTGATTATTGAGTTTAACGAGTTTTGACGTTTCCTCACCCGCTGCCTTTAAACACAGAAATGTAGTTTGGCTTTCCACCCCAGGGTTTGAAGTCAATACAGGTCTTGAGTCTGTATTGCTCAAATGCTTTCAGGCTACGTTTACACAGCCGGGTATTTAGAGAAACGAATATTTTCCCCCTCTCCGTTTTCAAAAATAACATCGTGCACACACCCGCATAAATACGCCGTCGAGCGCCATCATAACTATGCCAAACCTATGGGCGGCAGTGTAGGGAGAAGGATAAAGCCATGCAAGCCAATCAAAATCCTCAGAATCGACAAGAGAGAACCTAAAACCCCGTTCCTCCCAGTTTACACGGCAACACATAACCGGCGTTTTCAGAAATCTCCACTTTCCCCGGAGTTTTTAGAAATAATCGTTTTCTGTGATAAAAACAGCGTTTTCGTGTAAATGAGAGGGCAAAACGCAGAGAAATATCTGCATTTTCCCATCGTGTAAACGGGGCTTCAGTATCACACCTTTGGTATTGATCTCTGTTGAAAATTACACATACGAATGAATGAGTGAAAGAGCATGTAAAAGAGAGAAAGACAGTGAGCGAGACTTTTAAAAAGATTAAGTTAAAGTGAGTATGTCAGATAAAGCAATAATTCAACCGAACTGAATCAATTATTTTATAGATTCATCTACCAAGGCTGCTGTCTAGGAAGTACGGCACAGTGGTAGGCCAGCGATACTGTTCACCCAGAATAGTGTTTCTGCCTTCTCCCTGTTAAACACAAACCAAACATGGATTTAGCTTCATTTACACATCCATGTTATTTAATTTGCAAATTACCCTTTATTTATTTTTTTATTTTTTATTTTTTTGCTTGAAAAATAATGATTAATGAACTTTATTTACACGTCCAGATTATTACAAACCTCATAGAAAATTATTAACAACAGCAACAACAAAAAACCCCAGCTCAAATCATATTGAGTTTGACATCCTGAGGTTTACTAAGCATCTCCTAAAATTATTTTATTTTGATGTTGGTCATGTTTATTGCTTGAAAATTTAAAAGCAATTTTTTTTTTTTTTTTTTTTTTCAGATGGCCTAGATTTTAGTTACAAACCTCATTAGAAAACAGCTCATATAATATTTATTTAGTTTGACTTTTTTTTCGGAATGTTATTGTTACAAGTGAGGCTCCCGCACGGCCTCACTTCGCACCACCAGAGGGAGCCATCAACCGAATGTTGTCTTTCTCATTTGGACTTAATTTCCCATAGGCCCTCATTCCTGGGACTGATTGCACTCTCACCTGCATTTCATCACACACACACACTTCTTAAGCAGATCACAACCGCACACATTTTGCGAAGTCTTGATTTGCCTCGGTGGATCTTTTCTGAGCATTTATTCATTGTGTTGGCTAGTGTTAAACCCGTGTTGTGTTTGATTTGATTTGGACTTACTCGTAGGCTATTTGATTCTCTTGCCGTCTGGCTTGACCCTTGCCTGCTATGTGGACTCTGCACGTTTGTACCTGACTGGACTAGCCTACTGTTTGTTAGTGTTTACGCTGTTAGACTGCACCTTTATAACTCTGGTTTTTAATAAAACTGCAGATGGATCCTCATCCTGTAGACCCGTCATTACAGAATCTCCTAAAAGTTTTTTTTGAATTATTAAAAATAATAATAATAATTTTTAAGTTTGTTAATTCTTTGTTTATTACACAAACTGTATTTGCATGTCCTAAATTTTAGTTACAGACCTCATAAAAAATGAACAATTAAACTTTAAATGTAAAAAAAATGAATAGTTTGACATCCTGAGGTTTTCTAAAAGGTTAAGCATGCATTTCCTAAAATATATATATTTTCTAAACAGGTTTCTGGTCCTATTTTGTACTTCATGGAAAGTACCATGAGAACCTGTTTTACCTTTTCTATCAGAATGTCTCCTTCCACCAGGTGAAGTCCTGCCTCTGTTGAACAACACAGCGGTTACTGCAAATGTATAATCGAAATACAGATTCTAGATGCATATTAATATTCCTACAAACCTTCATTTATTTCAAATATATCCTGGTCTTTTCCATTATCTACATCAATCTCTGTTTTGCCTACAAAAAAGGAAGTCAAAATCCAGAGCATAGAATATAAAATCCTTTCAAATCAAATGTGATTTTGAAAGAATGTGATTATAATGACCATAATGATCATAAAGATGTTGGCTTTGAGAGAAAACATTTGAGGAAAGTGTCAAAGGTGTGCATTTACATCAACAAATAATGACGGTGCAAGCCTTGATATTGTGAAATAACCAATTCATCATAAAACTCATTCAGCCCTGAACAGGATCAATACATTTGAACTAAAGTAGCTGTGCTCTAAAATAAGTTCCTTTTGTTTAACATGTATTATATGATCACAAAATTGTGGTTTTCTATGACATATCCTGACACTGAAAGTAGTGAATTCTGGACTCACCAAACCCAGAAATGTATGGAGAGATGCCATGAGATCGCTTTACTCTTGAATTCTCTTCAAAATATCAGTGTACATGTGTATGAACCAATTTATAGTTCTTAAGAGCTTAGTCTGCATTGATAAGAGCCTGCAGCTGAAAGGATATGATTTATTACACTGATGGTCACCATATTACATGATAAACGTAGTTAGCCTATTGATAATGACTTGGCTAAGAGTTTGAGGTTTAATTCCACACTATATAAATTATAAACACACACTTCCTGAAGTCTGTGATGAAAAAACTTCCACAGAATGTTGTTTCACAGTAGAAACTTTTATTTCACAAATATATATTTTACAGTGCGGGATGCAGACCCTGAAGCCATTCAAAAAATGAATTCAAACATTATTCCACAGATACATCCTAAATCCTACAAAAAGTGTGCATTGCACACTATATATCTTATATCTATTAAAAGAAAGTGCAAGAACAGCTAAATTGTGCAAAATGTTTTCAGCTGATAAATCTTGTTAAAGCCATGATCAATGGCTAGAATGAAAATGTGAAAAGAACTTCAATTTATATCATGAAATGGTGTCATATGAAAACACAACACATCTTAATCAGATAATCAACATTTTTTTGTTGCTTTAATAGCAGTTCAATCAATTTCTAACCACAGCCTATTGGTAAAATTCAATATCATATCTTCAACTTATCTTTCAATTCTCAACTGTTGTTCACGATTATGCCATGCTCTTGTATACAAACTGATTTTAGATGCTGTCCAGAAAAACACCCCCCAGAGAACAGTGTTGTTCATGTTATGTTTCTGAAAATGAGCTCTAAACGTTTTTCATATATGATGCCAGAATTGCACACTGAAGGTTCATCTCATCGGTCTGGTGCAGGTTCTGCGGATCAGAGAAATAAAGGATTACAGTTAAATATTGAGCGTGTGTGTAAATATTTATTGGGGAAAGTTCTTTGATTTGTGTACGTGTATGACTTACAGTTATATCGTCCATGTAGTAGCAGTGGCGCAGGTTGAGGTGGGCTACGAAGTCGCGGCTGTAGTACTGCGGATCACCGTGAGGTGTCGCCACACACACTGGACACACCTAGAGGGCGCCAGAGGACACACAACAATCTTGAGTGTGTACCAGTCAGCACTGCGGAGTCATTTCAAACTGAAGGGTGTGGTTAAAATACTTTCTCAAATTAGAATGCGGAGGTAAATATGACTGGAATGAAATTAAAGGAACTAGTTAATGTTTCAAATGAATGCGATGCAAGTTTAATTCAACACATTGGATATTAGAATCACTCTATGAACCCTGACTGACCACACGTCTGCTGTCATTGGCATGACGGTCATTGCAGTGATCGCGTAGATCGAGTTCATCCAGTCCATTATCCCGGCAGTATGGACACACAAATGTCCTCACGGTTAAACTGAGAGAGAGAGAGAGAGAAAACAATCGGGAAATGAAATGCCTACAAGTAAAATACTTTAACGTTTTTTTTTAATAGCATAATGCCTTAAGTCTGCTAAAAAATACATTTAGCAGACTTGAAGTATTATGCAATTATGATATATATATATATTGCAACAATGCCATACAAGAACCGTTTTTTTTTCTTAGTGTAGAAAAACATTTTATTAATCTGATTCTGAACCTTTTGTGCAATAAAATTTCTTAATGGAACCAAAGAGCAGGCTATAATACAATTATTGATGTTCGTTCTGGTATTAAATGCCAAAATGATCCTAAATAAATGCTTGTCAATTTGAAATTACCCTATTTTTAGAATTATGTATAGCCTAATGGTCCATTATTTGGCAAGAAAATTTTGAAAAATGTTCTATAAAATGAGCACCAACTTAACAAGAGGTATACAGCAAAATATTGCACATTAGTGGGGTGAGATATACACAGATTTGATTTAATATAAATAAAATTAGATTATGACATTTGATTAAAATAAATTGAATATTAAAATAAGTAGATTAAAATAAATAATAAAAATAGATAATAAATAATATTATAGGTCTATTGTGATTAGAAAGAAACACTTTTTTGGCATCTAAAAGAAAACCCCTGCTCGAATGACATCAGGTTTATAGGATTTGTTAAATTACTGCAATAGTCAAAGGGGTTCATTGGAAGGGGTTTTCCACATGCTTTTGGCAGTGCAGTGTGTTTATGAAAAGAAGTGGATAAGGAAGTGGATATACAGATGTCCTCACCTTTGAGGTCGATGATTATTATTTTCCATTAGAGTGATCTCCGTTTGCCATGGCCTGTGAATGAAACAAAATATGAGTTAGCCAAGCCATAGTCTAAGTCAATCAAACGATTATCCTCTTGATTATTCACTTACCAATCATCAAGCATCGCCTGCAAATCTTGCCGGGGAGGGGCAGGGTTTGGAAGCAGTGGGACGGGGTTTGGCAGCAGTGGGACGGGGTTTGGAAGCAGTGGGACGGGGTTTGGAAGCAGTGGGACGGGGTTTGAATGCAGTGGGACGGGGTTTGGAAGCAGTGGGACGGGGTTTGAATGCAGTGGGACGGGGTTTGAATGCAGTGGGACGGGGTTTGGAAGCAGTGGGACGGGGTTTGGAAGCAGTGGGACGGGGTTTGAATGCAGTGGGACGGGGTTTGGCAGCAGTGGAGTCGGGGCAGGTCTTTGAGCGACTTGGAAAAGACCCACTCGGGCAGCATTTAAGGTTGCTACATTTGCAGGTTGAACTCGAATCCGTGGCATTGGAACGGGCCGTGCGGCTGGAATTAAAAGAGGACAGGCTCGGTTTTGTGGGGCAGGTGCCAGGGTAGCCTGATTGGGCAGACTGACTTGAGCGCCAGTGTTTGTCTGTTGTGCCTGTGAATCTTCAAGTCGGCTGATGAGACTGTTGGTTTAAAAGCATGGTAAATTATTTCAAGTTTGACAGAAAAGGCACTAAATGTTGAAATTTGCCTGAGACTTACGCATGTATGTTTGAGCCTACAGGTGCTCTTGAATTAAATGCATCAAAATTTCCTGGCAGGATTTGGCGCAGGAGCCTTCTACTAGGAGGCTGCAAGAAAAATATTCTTAAGTCTTTAATGAACTCCACTTACAGAAAGACTGGTATTTATCACAGGGCATATTACCAATGAATTATTTGCAGAAACACTGCTTCTGCAGTATGGGCAGTGAGTCCTGAATCGAAAAGATTGATTGAGGCATCTCTGGCAAAATCTAGAAGCACAGAGAAAGACAAACACTGTGTGTGTGAGAGAGAGAGAGAGAGAGAGAGAGTAAAATAACTATCATCAGGAAGAAGAATAAAGTGGCTGTCAGTAGAGGTAGCCTTAGTCAACACGTCATGTGATGGAATTTCCCTTTAGAATACTTTCACTTTTGATAGCTCAGGTTGTTTATCAGAAATTATATTTATATGTGGAGGAAATAATCTAAATGTATAGCACATGAAAAAAGAGCAAATAACAGAAATTTCCACCATAAACACTGTTTTCCAAATACAATCCAAAGGCATTTTTGGAGAAAATGTGATTTGTTCAGTGAGTTCCATCTGCGATCACTTATCAGTTTTACAAATGAAGAGTTCAGATGCAAAAGCCTCTAAATGCCATCTGAAATTTTCTTCTAAAATGATCATTTTTATCAAGCTGGTATATTTAAATTCAGTAATTTCACTTAAATGACAATTAATGGGTAATTTTTCTTGCCATTCAAGTGAAATTATTGAACTTAAATATACGAGCTTGATAAAAATGATCATTTTAGAAGAACATTTCAGATGGCTTTTAGAGGCTTTTGCATCTGAACTCTTCAAATATATATATTTTTATATACAAGACATTTCTGTATACAATTACAAAATATTTAGCATGTTAAGTTATGTTTAATATGTCTTAAAAACTTACAAGATTGATCTAAGTTTGTCTGTTTGAAGTGTCCACATGAAGGCACCAAAATCACTATATTTGACAAATAAATCACACTTACACCTTTCCACAGCATGGTGAAGGTTGAGAAGGATTTATTATTTTCCCTCTGCACACAGGACACTCTTCCTCTGAAGCTGACATGTCTGCTGGCAGTCTAGTCTATTGATATCTTCACTTTCAGATTGCAATTACTTATGTACAGTCAACTTCCTTATTGCCTTAAAGAGGGAGTGTGCTCTGTAACATCAGCTTACTTTCTTTTTTATTGGTGATAAATATGAGACCGCCTTTATGGAACTTCTAAATAAAGTGGCGTGACTCAGAGACCGTGAAAGAGGCCATATCTTTTAAGCTTTTTATGCAATTCAAAATCTGTCTATAGTTCATGAACAATTTTGTATGAAAGCAATAAATTGATAATATAGGAGAAGTGAGTTTTGTTGGTATATGAATACTTAAATTATAGTCTATTGGACATGCACTTTATTATTATTTTTTTATTATGCCATTAAACAGGCACTTTTATGTTTTATCCAATATGACTTAATTCCTCTGCCACGTCTTATAGTGACAGAGCTGATTCCAAAAGTTTTTTCCCCCCCGCAGTGATTCCATAAAAGAACCATTTTTGGTTCTTCAAAGAACATTTAGTGATCAGAACATAGTGATTTTTGAAATGGAAAGATTAAATGGATGTGAAAGGTTCTTCACGGAACCATCAGTGCAAAAAAAGAACCTTTATTATTGCTGACTCACCTTCACAATGTCCTGGGACATACTTTTCTTAAATACTGTCTGTCTATCCGTGTTTTTAGTGTCTACCTACCTACCTGTCTGTCTGTCTGTCTAAAACGCACAATCGTCAATGTCAAATTAACACCCATTATATAAGATGTATCAACAATCAACATTTATTATATGTTCAGGTTCGTTTATATAGACTATGTCCACTATTGAAGTTTGTTTCCTCAAAAGGTTAAATCTTGTAATTTTGAATTTATATCTCGCAATTCTGACTTTATTCCTAGCCGTTCCGAGTTTATAACTCGGATTTCTGAGGAAAAAAAGTCTGAATTTTGAGATATAAACTCGCAATTGCAAGCAAAAAGTCGTACCCTTTTTATTTTTTATTCCGTGTAGAAAAAGTGTTTCACACTACTCAGTTTTAATGTTACATTCTTTTACACAAATTTTGTGTTTATTCAACCTGTATTACATATCTGCCAGTATGTCTTTCATAAATACCGAAAGTAAAAGGTTATTTACCGGTAACAGGGCTTTTATTATGGAAGAAGTAGAGCTTTTATTATGGAAGAAGTAGAGCTTTTATTTCATTGCGGAAGTGAAATCACCTGACCGCCGCTAAGCTTCTTGGGCAAATTCGATCAGCAGGCAGCAGTGGATTTCAACATGTCTGCCGTCGGCTGTCAGTAAAGGAGGTATTTGTTTTCAACAGCAGTCAACAGCAGACCAGTGAGCTCGGTGAAGAACAGACGAGGCCCGCGCCCATGGCTCAGTGCGTGCAGTCAGTGCAGGAGTTCATCCAGGACTCGTTCGTGCCGATGGTGGCCGTCCTGTGCAGCGAGGATGCGGAGAGAGTGACCCGCAAAAACAACCTGACTTTTCCCGAGCTGCTGCGGCCTTTCTGCCGCCTGACGTCCGAGGGTAAGAACCCAGCTGAGCAGACAACCGCGGATCACACATCCCAACTGCTTATCACTCGAGAAGACGGCTGTTCTACATACACACACACACACAGTCTGTGTGTTATACATACACGAGTACTACACAAAACCTAGTGAGCTGTCTGCCTATGCTACATTGCCTAAAACTGACTAACGTTAGGTGCCATTAAAACTTAGTTATGCTTTGAGAGGCAGCTCAGTAAAGTTTGTGCGACATGCCTAAAATGCTTTCCTCGGATAGCAGCTCACTGGGATTTGAGACACACTATGATGTCTAGGCAGGCTGCTAAGTAGGTTTTGAGACACACGCCCTAAAATGCTGTTTAGATTGACAGCTCACTGGATTTTTAGTCACACGCCCCAAAATGCTGTCTAAATAGGTGGGTCACTAGGGTTTGAGAGACATCCTGAAAATGCTGTCTAGGCTGGTTGGCAGCTCACTAGATTTTTAGGGCCCGATCTTTGTCCGGTGAGGCCCCTGGCCAGACGTCACTGGAGGTTCCCTAGCCACTGTTGATCATAGTGGCAGACCTCGTTCTGAAAAGCTCATGTTTTGGTTGATAACATTAAATATAGTTTTCTGGGCCCTATCTTGCACTGTATAGTGAGGGGCCCGGGCCCTATGGGCAAATGCTGTGTGTGTTGTTTCGAAATTTGGAGCTTTCTGCGCCTTGAGTCCCTGGGGCTTCACTGGTCATGATGTGGCTGACATGATGATATGACTTAGAGTGATTATCAAATCAAAGGCTGCAATTTGATTAAATATGTAGTCTGATTCTGACTCTGTTGTGCATGTTTTAGACTAGAGTAAAGCTGTATTACATGATCTCAGAGTGTTTTCAGCTCAGTTCACAATAAATGCTGCTTCTCACCAACACAATTGGTGCACTGAGTTTAACGTGCATTTTGGGAACACAATGTGCACTAAGTTCACTTTAATTTCCAGCATTTCTGTGGACAGATTTGTACATAATTTCACCAGTATTTCGTCAAAACAAAAACGCAAAGATTTGAAAGTGAGGAATTTTATGCTTAAATGTTAGCATTGCAGTGTAAAAGTGTAAAAAAAAAAAACACATATGATTTAGGATACAATTATTGAATATTATTTTTTATTTTATTTCACAATTGTAATTTACAAGAGTAAATCTTCCTTTTTATAATTAGATTTAAATCAATGTTATATATATATAATAAAAAGTCAAAACACTTACTTTTGCATGTCATGTGAACATTAACCAGTTAACCATGAACATGTAAATGTGTTGTTAAATTATTGAAATATTAACTTGACATCTCAGGGGGTACTTCAAGTAAACATTTTACATCTAAGAGGTTCAACTGACAAAAAAAGTTTGGGAACCCCTTGCGCTAGATGTTCTTTGTGTTTCCTTTGTAAGTATAATCCAGCCCTGAGTCAAATGACAGGAAGGGTCACGACTCACAACCCCAAATCGGATCTGATTTCCGCTCACCTGAGCATTTAGTGACCAGAGACTCAGACAGACACAGCTCAGATCAGATTCCTCTGGTGGTGAGGGTAAGATTTAACCTGGCCCTTGCCAGATGAATTTCGCTCCGCCTAGCTTCACTCACATCCATCTGGAACCTCTTCCATTGAGAGTGATTTCTCCAACCAACTTTATGGTTTAGCCAATCAGGACGCAGGGCGGGAGTTTCATAGATGTGACGTAGTGGAGAAGCGACCGTGAGACTGTTTTGATTCAGACAACAATGGCGGCTCGCATCGAGGAAACAAGCGTTAACATTGATGCTGCTATTTCATCCGTGTTGTCCAATCTACCTAATATTGTTTCATTTAAAGAACATCAGAGAACGGCTCTTAAGGCTTTTGTTGGTGGAAACGATGTTATATAGATCAGTTTTTTATTTTTTTTTTATTTTTTTTTTATTAAAAAATAGAACATACAGGAGGAAAACAACATCTTCTGTACATCAAAAAAGTCTATAGACAAATCACAAATAAGCCAGGGAGTTATCAAAAACAAAATATAACGTAAAAAAAGCATAGAAAGGAAAACAAATTAAATAAATATCTTGTAAAGCTTAAAGAGGTCATATGATCTAACAGCTTTTTTGTTTGTACACTCAGATATTGAGAGAACATAGTTCTTAATATTAGCTGCAAGCACCAGAAAGCTTGGTTTCTTTTTTAAGAATTTTGACTTGTGCAAATAAAATTTGGTTAAAATGATAAACAAATTTATCACATAATACTCTGAACATAAATTTTTATCATGTTGAGTGAAACCAAACAAAACATTTTCCCACCGCAAAGCAAATTGAGGGTAAATATGGACAACAATAAATTGAACCACTTTGCTCCAAAGTTTTTTGGTATGTGGGCAAGACCAAAATAAATGGACCAGTTATATAGATCAGTGCCTTCTCCCGACCGGATTCTTCAGCGTCACGGGTTGGC